CTTTCTTCTTGGCAATTAACACTGCTCCTTCTCAAATGGCAGAAAAAATTTTGAAAAGGCAACTCTTTAAGTATTCTCCATCTAACACTAGCTTCCACTTCTCTTGGTGGCCGCTGCTTTCCAAAATGCTGTGCTCCACCAAATGAGATCTTACACCTCTCCAAGGCCAAAACCCAACAAGTCCAAGCCCCTCAGCTCCTCCTTTCTCCTTAGAGACTTTTACAGAGCTGTGGAAACGAAACCTGGAGATTCAGAGTGGCTCCCAACTCATTCCACCTTGAGTGCATCCAGGACTTTGCAGGCAGTCAGAAAGCAATGAAGTGGCTGCTCAGTGACAGAAACACTAAGAATGAGGAAAAGCATATGGAAGCCAGGAAAACCCAGCAAGGAATCAGAGCTCTGTGCAAAAGGAAGTGTTTGAGAACTAAAGTACTGCAAAACAGAATGAAAACTGAACAGACCGAGTCATGGCTCAATTAGAAGGGAATCTGAGAGCTCACAAATCAAGAAAGCACTTTTCTATATTAAACTGGTAGACATTAAAAAAGAAACAGATGTGAAAACAGGAGACAGACAGAACCAAGGAGCTGTCAGAGAAGGATTCATAAATAAAAAAGGAGGAACTATGAGATCTATAGATTTTTGTTAATTTTGAGTAAAGCAGACTTGTTATATCTGGAAGGTGAAGGCTTCTACGAAACTATACAGAGTAAATCAAAATTTAAATTTGGTGCCAAACTGAGGAGAGAGAAGGTAAACTGAGCTGAAACAGGGTAATGATAGAAAAGAATGAGGAAGAGGAAAAAAAAAAATCCGTTCGTTCGCTAAGAATACATAGACAGGCTGCACAAAATTGCTGGAACTGGAAGATACCAGCAGAGCAGTTTAAAACAGCTGGGAGTGCCACAGAGGAAATTAAGCGTAAGATACATACTGGGGGCAGGAGATAAAGGAAATACATTGCAAAATGGGTTATGTGAGGGTAGAAGAAACAAAGAAAGAAAGAACCAAACAGGAAAAATTGGAGTCAGGTGAAGTGTGAAAATATATGTCTTTCTGGATACTGCCTGGATGTTCACAATCAGTGCATTTTAGAAAGAAGACAAATGATACTGGAACAGGAGCCTGAAGAACAATGGTATTTAGTCAGGAAGAGACAACAAAAAACATACAGTGAAAGAGCAATTTACGTACCTGTAACAAGAAAATGGTTTGGTTTAGTGTAAAGTATGCACCTTCCCTTCACCTGAGTGACAAGTTACCCACTCTCAGGACGGCCTCCGGTATCTAGTGAGGAGTGAAAGTCTGTTGGGGTTTTAATATTATACAAACCTGAGGTGAAATAGCCAGTCCTCCCAACGGATCGCCATCCAGAATATCAGTCCCAGCATTATAAACAATGATGTCAGGTTTTAATTCATTTAATGCTCCTTCCACGTGAGTGTGTACCTTCTGAAGATATTCTGCGTCCTCTGTACCCCACTCTAATTCCACCTTGCGTTTTATGGCACCTAAAAAAAAAAAAATGTCTCTGTTACTCAATGAGCAAAGCAGGGTTTGAAAGAAAACACAAGATTTAGGTAAGCAAGAGAAAAAGATAACATTTCTGGAAATATTGTAAATACGTTGCATTTTCACAGAACCTTGAATTAAAGAAATTCATTCAACTACTTGTTTTCCTAGCAAATGTAAGCACAATGACCTTGAAAAAATTCCATTGAAGAGAGAAAATTAGATGCAGGGGGAAAAAAAAAAATACTCTGAGACACAAGTGGAAAATGTTATTGAAAAGTAGCTTATCTCCATGTCCATTTAACAATCAGCAAAGAAATCATAGAGAAAATTATTAACTTAAAAGCAACCTAAATAAAGCATAAGGGAAAGAAAACACTGAACTGATATTGCAGAGGAAACAGTTGGGGGAAAACACAAGATAAATATCACTGAGAAATTATGAAGATGTTTTATTTTTATCACAACACTCAAAACTTAGCAGCAAGGGATCATGAATTTCTGTGAACTGCTTTATGAATGTATAACAAGCTTCAGCTTTGCCCCAAGCATTTTCAATTTAGTGTTCTTACTCTATAATCCCACCAGAAGAGCAAATATCTAGTCTTAATTTAAATCAAATTATTTCTAATGCTTCTAATAAAGCATTACAAGTAGAAGAGGAGGGTTGAGAAGCTAGAGGAAAGATACCCAAGGTTACACAGCCTAACTTTGGGTGCTTTTATGGAGTTATGTGCAACTCTAAACCTGAATTAATCAAACCTATGTCAGAGGTGTTTCAAGGTATGACTTCCATCTCACCCTACCCTATGCTTTCCATTAAATGACTTGAAGTCTTAAATCTTAAGCGTGGATTCAGCACCCAAGTATGCATGAATGCATTCAACACAAAAATACTTATTTATTCTCATGATTGCTGTTTTTTTTTTCTGCTTTCCATCTTTGTTCAACATCAATGAAGTATTCTTTTTCTTTCCTTTAGTTTATTGCATCAACATTAGTTTCCAAGATTTTTGTTTCTTTACGATATTTTTCCTGAATTCTTTTCTTATTGTAATATAAATGTTCAGATAAGTCTGCACAGCTGTGCTTTTCTGAACAGCACTTAGAGCCTCTTCAGGGTGAAGAATCTGCTAGCTGGATAGAGGTTTAGAGGAGGAGGGAAACACATTAGCATGAGGAACAAGTAATTATTGTTCCGATGAATCCATTAAGAAGTTGAGAGGATTGTGCATAAGATTCCATGCCTCTGCAGGGCTCTTGTCCTCATCTCCACCACAAAATACAGAATTACAGTGACTAGTTATTTCCCAGCTCAGGGACTACTGATGGACGCAGTGATGGATCTGTAGGTTAGAACGAACACACCTTTTGTCCATCTCTTGCTAGTTAGTGAATCTACTTCTGCAGCTTTGAAAACTGTAAAATAACAATCCAACAGCAGCAACACTTTTTTTAAAGCCCGAACTCTGAGTTTCAGCTGTCAACTTTTTATGATCGCCCTTCAGTGAACTAGTCCTTTGCCCCATCTATCTTCTCCTTTCTCTTCCTAAACTTCTCTAATTCCAAACTACTTCCTCTTAGGGACTCAATACGCTTATGCTGAGCATTAGGCAATGCTAGCTAGTCCTTTTTTTTTTTCCTAATGAAGTGCCTGAGGAAAAAAAGAAACACAAACACAAATAGACAGAAGAGACTCCTGTAATAAAATATGGAGAAAATGAGGAAGTCCAGGGAGACAGTGATCAGTTTACCCTGAGGATTCAAACTCTCAGGTTCAAGCCTCTACCTCCTTTCAAAAAGATGCCCTCTCTGATCTCATCTTCGACTGGTCATCTAGCAGGAGAGAGTTTAAAGGATTGAGCTACCCAACTCCTATCTGGATACCCTTTTGCAAACGACAAGGAACTACATATTCGTGTGCCTTTGGCCACAGCCTTCTGCGCCTCGTGCTTCGTCTGTAGAAAGGGAATGCCAGTATTCCCAGCTTCACAGGAGAGGGGTGAGGTCAGGATTTCAGATCTGCTAACAAGGGCTCACTCTGTTCTGGTCTTAATCCATCTGTTCGAAATGTTGCCATTTGATACAGGAATAAAAGGATGCTTTTCTCAGGGGAAAAAATACTCATCTTCATTTGCTTGCAGTTTGTCTGCTTACAGACAAGATGTGCTTTAAACGGTCTTTTTTTAGTTTAATGCTTTGAAATACATACACCACAATTCTCAAAATCTTTACTAGTTAAAAGCCAGAAGTACAATGCACTGCAGCTAATCCTTGCCAAGAATCCAAATTAAGCAGGCTTTTCCGAATGACAGCGTCACTGAAGAAAAGAAACAGCAGAAGAACATCTCCCCCAGTAAGCTATGATTCACTTAACAAATTAGGCCTGTAATAAATGACAGCGTAACAGAATCAAAGTTCAGACAAACTTTGGGCTTTTGCATTCTGATTTAACCATTATGAAACCCCTGTTAATTAACTGTGACAGGTCACCAGACACAACAGGCACACCACAGTAAGGATAAACAAACAACAAACTTCCTTTTGCTTCCCAACTTGTTTCACATTCAGATGCATCTTGTTTTCTAGATGCTTAAAAACAAGTTCTCCTGGAAAGATGACACCTAAATATGTTGTAATTTATAGCTTGCAAAAGAACATGAAACCTTTTACATTAGTATTAACTAATCCTTAGTGAATTCTTTTATAGGTTTAGTGTGAGGGAAAGACTAAGTTTGAACAGTTATCTTCAAATCAAAAGGATTGCTTAACTCGCTGTTCTAAGCGTACCATGAGCTTTTGAATGGGCTGCCAATAAAGTCCACGTAATACCCACACCTTGCATTCCAGAAATTCATTCCAGAAGTTAGGGAAAACACTACAGTGTTAACACTATTGGGATATATCACAGTGATCACTGAAAATCGTATGTTCAATGTGAAATTAAGAAAAATCCCAAAAACTAGTTAACGCTGTTGCAAGGAAGCTTATTAATAAATGAAAAAAGTTATTTAACAACTCAGTACGTCATCTGCATTTTGGAACATGAATTCCAATATACTTACGCTTAGCAAATCCATCCCCTGGATAAATATATCTATTGTAGGCATCCATGATATATACTCGATGATCATCCATGAAGTCCCTCTCATGGCCATTTCCCTGAAGGAAATTCACAGTTAGCTATTCCTAGCACACTAACACAGAACTAAATAATCTGCAAATTCTAGAGTAATTAAGCCTACAAAGATCTAACACTCAAAACTCCTGTGTCATTCTCTTACTTATAGTCTTGAAGGTTATTTTGAGGTGCAGAGTTTTGGAGACTTTGATAGGATCAATCTGAAGACTGCAGGTTATCAAAATCAACATCCTTATATCTCTGTGAAGGTAATTATCATACATCTCATTGCATGTATAATGAAAAATAAAAGAAAATTAGAAGCTAACTGTCTTCATCAGCATCACAAAAGCAACTGTGACCACCAAATAGATCTCTCATTCTCCAATTGTGCAAAAAAATAAAAAGTCACTTTCAACTGCTACAGGGATACTCATATTCTTATATAAAGATTAATAAATAAATAAAGCAGGCTACAGCTCTTCCGGTAATTCAAGCCTTGGCGAGATAAGTAATCCCTGGAAAAATTACAAACATTAGAGACCCAACAGTTCAACATATTAACACCAAGAATTCCCTACAAAAAGATTGTATTGGGTGTAAAGACAGACAGCTGCTCAAGAGAAAACTCAGATTCTGAGTATTTCCCCCTCCCATTTCTGAATTTAAACAGTATTCTTTTGGCTCTCATTTAGACGTTTTTCCACTAGTATAAAAATCATCTTTTCACAGCAATCACTAAGATAATTCTGTTGAAATTAGCGTATCACACAGGACTCCAGCCCCTACCCGCAACAGAATTTCATTTAAACTATAGAAACAGACATTTTCAGAGATGTATCTGCTGTAATTCAGTTATATAATTTATGTCCTTGGACAGTTAAGCTATATCTCTGCTACAACTTCCCCTCCTGGAAACAAACAAAGCAAGCAAACAAAAAAGAACCCACCCTAGAGCTAAAGCTAGTAAATGTGTGTGAAAAAGAGGGAATGGGAAGCATGAGAATTGCATTTCTTCATGCTAAAAAAATGGCAACTCCTACTTATTTCTTCCACACCCACCTTTGGTCCACAAATAAACAGCTCATGAACAGAAATCCAGGCATATGAGAGCCTCGAGGTGAACCATTTTCTTACGAAAGGTGAAGCTTGCCAATGCACCAAGAATTGGAACACTTGCAAGATGAGAATATCTGCATATTTAAAAAGGATCTGCTGAGCTACTACTTCACACATCTCTCATTCCCCACAGAAAGGAAACAAAGGGGTGATTTACTGTGCACGCTGAGATTACCAGCATGACACCTGAAAATCAAAATACATTCCAAGAAGTTCTTAAAAAAAAATAAAACACATCTCAAAAAAGCACAAAAAAATCCACACCCTGACACAGAAGAGAATCATGAATGAATCACCCTGACATGGCTGAAGAGAATCATGAACACAAAACATCTTTCCATTGCACAATCTACGTCCTTATTTCATAGTAATTTTAGGATGCCTTAACTTGCAGATAAGAGAAACGACAGAAGATGGAAAACTTGCAGCCATCAGGCTACCTCACTGCCATGGAGCTACTTAAAAATAGTTTATTTACACATAATAATTATCTTCAATGCTTCAGACTGGACAGTTTCAGTGCATTAACTGCTTTTCTAAAAATACTATTTCCCTCCTTTCAGGATTGATTTTGAAAATCCTATTCTTTACTTCATTAGCCTGAAGCCAGACTTTCCATTAAAACACTGAAGGTCAAATTCATCCCCCGCACTGATCACGCGTGCTGAACTAACTGTCATTCTGGTTTCAGAGCTTCTTGTTTTTTCTGGAACACTGAGCTACTCTGGACACTGTCATGCCTCAGATCAGGACTGCAACTCAAAAATATTTTTACATCTAGCCACATGATGGAGCTACAACTCAGTTCAATTTCATTAACTAGCTTAACAGCCTTTGGACCATAAAATAATTAAACAAGTTCACACCTTGCACCATCTATGATTCACGTTGTATTCTGTGAGTGGACAGTTTACACCATTAATAGGAAAAAATGGGTTTTATCACACACTTGTATTTCGAGCAAAACATCTGCAGCACTGAATACAGGTAAGCTACTCACCTGATGAGCATCCAGGTCAATAATTGTGGCTTTAGACACTCCTTGTACTCTTTCAAATAAGAACTGGATACATAAGCAAAGAAAAAGATAAAGTTATGAAGTCAGGTGACAGATTAAATTGGAGGCTTGAAGCTTGCACTGTACATTACTGTTCTGATTTGAGTGTAGTACGTGTCTATTCATTTCATTCACCAAATAAACGGCTAAATGAATCTAATACTCTTAATTACAAAAGCTCCAGTTATTTCACATAAAAAGATAATTCTTGTGGTTATACAATTAAAAACCCTATATATTTCCACCGGATGAAATGCATGAAATAGGCATTTCCCAGTCATCTGTGTGGGCATCTGCCAACCTGTAGAGAAAGCGGCGAAGGGAAGGAAGAAATATTTCCACTCCTCTCCTCTTTCTCCCACAAAGCAGCAGACACACCACAGGATCAAGGACACGTCCTTCTACACGAACTTGTAAAGCGGACTGTGCCAAGGAGGAACACGCCCCATGGCACCGCATAACGGCACAGACCCCAGAGGAACAAAGCCTGCTGCAGTAATACTGGCTCTACGCAGGTGCAGCTGGTGCATCTCTGCATCCCACCCCAGCCAGACAGAAAAGGACGGGTCCAACGAGGGATTATAAAGCTGGTGGTGGCACTGGTGCTGTCAGAGGCTGGACTGGAACCAGCAACAGCAACAACTGTGGGTTGGGACAGGGTGCAGCAAGAGCTGCACGGGCCCCAAAACATCGAGGAGTTAACTTCATGAGACACAAACGATGGCACGAGTGAGGCTTATCAGCAG